TGTGTCACTCTCTTGCAATTTCCATTTGGGTCTGGTCTTTCTGCATTTTTAATGGCCTTTGGCTTTCCTCGTGGATGATGGCCTTGATGTTATCCCATAGCTCCTCTTGTCTTCAGTCATTCATGTTCAATGCATCCAACATATTCTTGAGAGGGTCTCTACACTACAGTATCCAGGGGGGACAGTGTAAAAAAAACAAGAGTATTTCAGCCCACCGTCTCATCAGACCCATGCAGGGAAGGTCCTTTGGTGGGATCGAGGCTGTGGCCAGAAGATCCATATTAAGTGGCTCGCTGCAGTCAGCCCTTGGTCCTGCTCTGATGGTGATACAAGCAGCTCCGTTGCTTCTTTCCTTGGACGGAGTCCAGTTGATTCTTGGGCAATCCGTAGGGAAGGTCTATGTGCACAGCCATTGTTTACATTGTTGGAAAAGGATATTTGCAACGAGTCAGTCCTGCGAGTGAGTTGGTCCTCATTTGCAAATGTCTAGCATGTAGTCTCCAGCGTCGTTTCCGTCACTATGGTCATTCTGCCCAACTTACGACCCTCATTCTCATTTCCAGCCCTCCCATTCCGACCACCAGCAGTTATCAATGCATCTGGATTGCATGATTGACCAGTTTTAGACAGCAGGAAGTTGCTGCTGTTGTTGATGATGCTGGGGGGCCCGGAGTAGATTCTGGCTCACAGTGACCCTAACTGCAACAGAAGGTGAGACGCGCCTTCAGTTTCTTCATCTTTGCCCTTAGTGGTTGCTTCTAAACTTGAAGAATCGTCCTGTTAACTGGCCCTCCTTGTTGGGGGGTAGCTATTAACTGATCACCGACAACTTTGTCCTTCGAGATCTTGACGTGTGACTTTTGAGATGTACTGTTGTCTGGCTCTTCTTATACCCAAGTAGCTGTTCACGTTTGTGTGGACCGCAGGACCAACGTGAGAAAGAGAGAAAAATGAAGACTCTCCCCCTCTTCTCTTGGTATGCTCAAAATCTCTGATTTATTCCTAAGGAGGAGTGTTACAAATGTTGATTCACAAGATAGACCCAAGCAAATGCTTGCTTGTTCCCCACGTCCCTCATGTGCTGAGATGTGTGCGACATGAAGCTTCTCGTTTTCATCTGTTCCCAAGAAGCAGCAGACCGGGAATCACCATTCAGTCATTTCTTCTCAGAATAGACGAGAGCAGAGCTCCCAGCGGAATTTTCTGAAAGCAGGGTCAAGATCCCGACAGACACCTTTCTCAGGAGAATGTAAGAGGAGGTGAAACAGAGCTCTACCTGTACGGTCCTGAAGACCACGCCCAGTCCGAGGTGCAGTTACCAGCAAGTGGCTGCAATCTGGTGGAGCAGGCAAGGCCAGAGGTCATGGTAACAGTTGTTTAGGACGTTCAAGGCGTCTTTCTCATGGACTCCCGGTGGGTCAGAGCCAACGAGCATCTGCTTATTGCCGGACTGTTGTGCCAATGTGAACCGGAGCTTCCGAAAGAGAAAACACCAGTGAAGTCTTCCCCAGAGGGTCCTTCTCCTCCACGCCGACGACCAAGCCCCCTCTTCTCATCCAGCAAGGGCAGTGTTGTGAGAGTTTCCATGGGGGATCCTTAGGCATGATTCAGCTCCCCTGGCTTGTATTTTGTTTCCTCTTTTTGTTGCTTGGAGCAGAACAAGGAACTACTGCCTGATTTAAAGTCAGGAAAGGTGTGGGTCATGGTTGTATCCTCTCACCAGACTTATTTAATCTGTATGCTGAGCAGATCACCAGAGAAGCTGGATTATATGAAGAAGAACATGGCATCAGGAACGGGGGAAGGACTATTAACCACCGGTGTGATATGCAGTTAACGCAATCTCACTTATTGAAACTGAGGAGGGCATGAAGGACGTGCTGATGAAGAGGAAGGATCGCAGCCTTCAGGATGGATTTCGACTCCATGCAAAGAAGACCAACGTCCTCACAACTGGACAATAGGTAATATCTGGATAAGTGGAGAAAAGGTTGACGTGGTCAAGGATTTCGTCTTGCTTGGATCCATAATCATTGCTCATGGAAGCTACAATCAAGACATCGAAGGACACTTTGCATTCAGTAAATCTGCTGCACAAGACCTCCGTCTTTAGAGCACCGAAGAGCAAGGATGGTACTTTGAGGACTACGGTGCACCTGGCACACGCCGTGGTGTTCTCCACTGCATCCCATGCCTGTGAAAACCGGACAGTGAGTAAGGACGACCGGAGAAGAACCGACACATTTGAATTCGGTGGGCGAGGAACGTGGAAAGCACCATGGACTGCTAAAAGGACAAACCCATCTGTCTTGGAAGAGTGGTCCTCAGATGCAAGGAAGGCGGGACTTTGTGTAGCATAGTGCTTAGACATGTTGTCAGGAGAGACCAGACCCTGGGGAAGGACATATTGCTTGCTAGGTAGAGGGACAGAAAGGCCCTCAATGAGATGGATTGATACAACGACTTAAACACTGGGTTCAGGCATAGGAACCATTGTGAGGGTGGTGCAGAGCCGGGCAGTGTTTTGTTTTGTTTTGTTGTGCGTGGGATTGCTATGGGTCAGAACCAACTTGATGGCACCTAACAACAACAACAATCTTTAAAAAAAAAAAAAGAAATTTAAGGGGCACCCATTTTCCTTGGATTCACAGTGCAACACAGACTGCATGGACACGGTTAATTGCCAGGGCCCTTGGTTCTATAGGGAGGAGCAAAATAGCTACTGCTACCCCTTATAAAGCTTTCTTAACCCTGAGGGCGCTTATGTGGAGAAGCTCATCTGTTTATCTTTTAATCCCATTTCCTCACAAACTTTGTCAGCCTCCTCCAATTACTTTGTGTACTAATAACTTTATATATTAGTACCACAATCTAAAAACAATTTTGAACACCCAATAATAGGCTGTAAGGGAACTAAAACTTTCCATTTTCCTCTAAATGCTTACTTTAACATATTATCTTAGGGTAATTAATAATCTATTTCATACATAAAATGTGTTACTGTAGAAGAAACTCTAATAGGTTAACAGAAATGTATGCTCAGAGGGTGGGGGTGGGGGAAGGGATGATATTAAAATTTTGATCATTAGAACTTCCCCCTGGATTTTTAAATGGACCATGCTGTATTGTACTACCAAGTACATTCCAACTCATGTCACAGGCAACGAATGTGCAAATGTGCTTTACACAATTGATGTATGTATGGATTGTGATAAGAGTTGTATGAGCCCCCAATAAAGTGGTTTAAAAAAAAAAGAAGTACATTCCGTCTCAGAGTGACCCCCACGTGACAGAGCAGAATTGTGCCACAGGGCTTCCTAGACTGAGATCTCCATGGAAACAGACAGCCACAGCTTTCTCCCAAGGAGTGGCTCGAACAGCCGACCTTGTGGTTAACAGCCAAACACTTAGCTCTTGAGCCACCAGGGCCCTTTACATGGACTATACACTCCCAAACCAAACCCACTGCTGTTGAGTGGATTCAATTCATAGCGACCTTAGAATGGGAGCCAAATTGTGGCAGGACTCCCACCGAGGACTGGAATGAAGTCACTCAAATATGATGAAACCGGAAGTGTGTTCGCATTGTTCGTTAGTAGACTCAATTTGTTGTCACTTTTAAACTAGCTTAAAAACAAATCCAAGCTGTCAAAGTGTGTCTTTGTGAGAGTTCCGTGGACAGGAGAACTATTTGAAGCCAAACAAGGCATGGACGTGGCGAGCTGAGCAACAAAAGGAGTGCCCACCAGAGGGCAGCATGACCAGGCGAACAGCCAGGATGGGCTTCTTGTCCCCAGCATGGAGGGGACAGTTGACCCTGGCCTCCACCTTTGCCCTAGCTATTCTTCCTAATCGTTTGTCCTCTTTGCTGTTTCCAATCATTTCCCCGAGTTAATAGGTTGCTGCCCCAGAATTTGGCCCTGTGTCCCAAAAGCGTTTTCACGAACTTACCAAAGTGGAACCTCCTATTTTGTGTCTGTTTCGCCTTGTGCAAAGGAAATGAAAGGTGCCCTCCCATATTGGGCTGCGACCCACAAGCTGAGCAGTTTGGAAGCACCAGCCACGCCGCAGGGGAAAGATGAGGCCGTCTGCTCCTGGAAAGAATTACAGTCTCGGAAACCCAAGGGCCAGTCCTACCCGGTCCAAAGGGTCCCGCTTTGAGTCAGAACTGACTTCACAGAAGCAAGGCTTTCGCTTGTTTGTTCTTTAGTTTCAGTTTTAATTTCAGAACTCGTACAGGGACCGGACCAGAGAATATCCCCAAACCCACTGCTGTCACATAGGTTCCCACTCTTTGTGACCCTCTACAGGATGTCCCGGGCTGCAAGGCTTTACAGGAGCAGACAGCCTCATTTTACTCCTGCGAAGCAGCTGGTGGGTTTGAACCATGGATCTTGCAGCTATCAGTCCAATGTTTACTCCACAGCACCTCAGGGGTGGGGGGGTGGGGGGGCTCCTTTGGAGTGTCTAGAATACTAAACATTCGAGTTTTGGATAGTAGACATGCCCAGGAAGGAGGACAGACTCAGCTCTTGTGAAGCGAGGCTTTGGAAAACAAACTGTAAAGAAGGCAAGACCCACTGGGGGCATGAAATGAACCAGCATCGGTCACAGACGCACTGGTTGGTGGTAAGGCATGGTCGTCACCAGGCTTCCGTGCCAAAGCCCCGGTGCCATACGTCTGACAAAGGTCAGGGTTTGGGGTGGCACCTTCCTTACACAGGGATGTACTGACGTCCTGAAAGAGAAAGAGGGCTGATGCCTGAACTCGGCGCCTTTGCTTTTCAACATCTTCACATCTCGGAAGGAAAGCCAAACATTGGTTGATATTCTCCCCACCCCGCCTTCGTTTCTTAAAAGCATGCACTACCAGGAATCACTGCGCTCGTTCACAGAGACAACGTACAACGGAGACAACGTCACAAGGACAAGGAGCCCTGCGTTACGTTACTTGCGGAGGCTTTCTGAGGGAGCAGAGCTTGAGGACGCGTGTGACTTACATTAGCACAGTGCAAGGCTAACGCGCAGAAGACCGCAAACATCTTGAAGTTGTTCTCGTCCGTTTTAGAAAAGGCACTTCCGCTGATTTTGTTCACCATCTGGACCACGCCGATGACGCTCCCTCGGCTCACGATGGGCATGCACAGGATATTCCGGGTGGTGTAGCCTGTGTACAAGTCCACTTCCCTGCACGAGTCAACAGACAACACCGAAACAAAAGCAGACAGGCAGAGGACAATCCATTAGGCAGGCTGCCGGGCATCAGGACGCTGTCCTGTAAGCGACCTGCTTCTCTCTGAACATCTTGGAAACGCTGACGCTGTCAGGGAGTTCGTTCCCTTACTGGGATCTACTGTCCTGGCCCATAGAAGCAGCAGTGCAGAAATCAAAGGAGGCCTGCACCAAGCAGAGCTGCTGCCCCAGCGCTCGTTAGAGCACTGGTTAAAAGTCAGTCAGGCGGCCCTTCCCATTGTCTCCTGGAAGCGCGACAGCTGGACAGTGAGCCAGGAAGACGTGTTCACATCGCGGCGCTGGGCAGCAATACTGACTAGACTGGGGACGGCCAGAAGAAAGAAGTCTGTCTGCGGAGAAGCACATCTACACGGCCCTCAGAGGTGAGGTGGCCAGGACATCACCTCACAGACTCCGGATAGGTTATCGGGGAAAGTTTCCTTCTCGTGAACGCACGGTCCCTGTGTGTGCCTGGATGAATTGACTTCCTGCCATTGGGGGCCATCAGGTAGATCCCGGCTCACCAGATGGCCTGCGGGACAGAGAGGAACTGCCCCTACCGTCTTCACAGCCGCGTCCACCAGGTCTCTCTCCAGCAGCATGGCTGGCATATTCCTGCCAGCAGCCAATCCTTTTCCATCCGAGCACTTCACCACTGCGCCACGCACAAGAGGGCCTAAGAGATGGGTTTCTACTACAAATAACTTCCAGCTAACGGTGGGCTTCTAACTACAGTGAACCCTCGCCACTTCTTCGCGCTTTGACTTACGGCTTCACTCTATCGCGGTAACCGCGTAACAGCGCATGCTCTGTCATGACTGCCACTGATTGGCTCATACTGTATACACTTGATGCCATAAATAATATAATAAATAATAAATGATAATTGTAACGTCCAAAATGTTTTACTGTATTTTCCCTTTTTCGTTTAATAAATTGGGTAATATGAGTGTAATGGTGACTAAAGGGTGTTTTTTCATGTCCTCTATGCTCTAACTACGAAAATATTTGATTTACAAATAAGGAATCCTACTTCGTGGAATTTCATTTATCACGGTAGGGTCTAGAACCGATTAACTGCGATAAATGAGGGTTCACTGTACTGGGACTGTGTGACATCTGAGTGTTTCACTAAAACCCTTCTTAAGGTGCTGTCCCTCGGGTCCCTCTTCTCTCAGGAGCTTCCCCAGCTCCCTCTCTCAGTGGGCTGTCTGCTCATCAAGGGGCTGAAGGGTCAGGAGCCACAAAGCACAGGCAGACAGACAGACCAGGGGTGGAAATGTAATGCACTGGTTCAAACAGCACGTTTCTTTGAATCTGGTCATGATTTACCAAAGACCATGGGCGTCACTACCTACATGATTTACAGCAGGCCCTGGCAAATTACACCCCTTCCTCCACCCCCGAACCCCTGCTTCACTGTCCCCGCCCGCCTGCCATGCACTAAGCCAGTTGTCTCCTGGTGGCAGGTGGGGGCATGTGATACCCCACCACACTCATTCTCTCCTGTGCTGGCCTGGTCTATATCCACTGGAGGGAGCAGACGGGAGCGCCCATGAGTAGGATGGTGTGACTAGAATGCACAAGACCTGGTCCTTCCCAGAGAGGAGAGCCCTGTCTGAGTTCCTCTAAACTGCACCCACCCAACCCCAAAACAAAACAAAAACACACCAACTCACTGCCATCGAGTCCATGCCAACTCATAGAAGCCCTGCAGGGCAGGGTGTGAGGTTCTGAGACTGGTAACTCTTTAAGGGAGTAAAAAGCCCCATCCTTCTCCCGTGGAGCTGCTGGTGGTTTTGAACCACTGATCTTGTGGTTAGTAACACAAGTCCTAGCCCATGATGCCCCCAGGGCTCCTTATGTTCAGTTCCTCTAGGAAGCGCTTTTGGAGGGCTTCCCCTCCGGGGAAGCCAGCAGGAACTGTGTTCACGGTGTGACTGGCAGTCTGGCGGGTGACGCACCTGTGGTTTCTTTCACCTGAGGGGATGGCGTTGCCAAGCCTCCCTGATGTCGCAGCTGTCCCTGGGACTGCCCAGCTGAACTCCTGTATGCCTGATCCTCCAACAGAACCCACTGCCGTCGGGCCCATTCCACTCCACAGTGACCCTACAGGAGGGGGCGCAACTGGCCCCGTGGGTCTCCAGGGCTGTCACTCTTCCCAGGCCTGGAGGCTGGTGCCCACTTCTTACCGGTTAAAGCGTGGGTCCGCGTAGGCGTCTGGGATGTTGAGCACTTCCCCCGTCCTCGCCACTTGGCCCGCGATCCCTTTCTCGATGGAGAACCTGTGCACACACAAAGGACAGGAGTGGCTATGGAGGGGAAGATGCCGGAAGACCGTGATTCTGAAACACGCCATCACTGCCAAACACTCATTCTGTATACGGCCTTGCTTGGTGTTAAATGGTCCTATGACGGGGCTTCAAAAGCATGTGGGGGAAATGAAATGAGAAGCTAATGGGATATCCCCACCAGCTTTTTGAAGCCTCCTGGTACTCACTGTAACACTTTCAAATTCTAATGCAGTGCTGCTATCAAATATTTGTGAGTCAGATAAGCATGTCGGGGGTGTGGGGGGGAGCCTGGGCCTGGCAGGAGGCCTGACTTGCCCAGGTGGGAGGACACGGGGACTTGGAAGCCTGAGCTTGCCACTTCCTGCTCTGAGCAGCCTCACTCGGCCTGTGGCACTCATTCCCCTACTGACATCTGGTGCCCAACAGCGTCCAAGACGTTTCTTCTCAAAGCTCATGGACGGTAGATGGATCTCATGTTGAGCCATGGAACATGTCAGCGCTCTGGTAACTCACCTAAACCCACAGTCATCAAGTGGGTTCCAGCTTATTCCCAAAACAAGCAGGCTTACTGCCAATCCAGCCAATGCTGACCCTGATCAACCCTCTAGGACAGTGTAGAACTGCCTCCTGTGGGTTTCCAAAGCTGTAGATCCATATAAGAGCAGTCAGCCTCATCTTTCTCCTGTAGGGTGGCTGATGGGTTTGAACCACCAACTTTGAGGCCAGCCACCAATGCCTAGCCCACAGTGCCACTACAGCTCTGGTAACACATTCAGGGTGTGACAGAAACCTTCAGTGTCCAGCCCCACCGCCACCACCTGAACCAACCTATCAGCCTTGAGATGCGACACAGAATTTGGGGGTTTGATGCAGGTTCTCTATAAAAACGTCACCATGTGAAACCACCAGGATTCTGTCCTTCTAAAATCCACAAGATCTCAGCATAATCTAAATCCAGCCATTAGGCATGTAGGTACCAATCAGAGTGCAGTGGAGAGATGACTACAGCAGATCAAAGAATAAACCTAATGTGAACGCTTTCAACCTTGTCAGTGGACCCCAAGTCTGATGCACGTTAGGCCTGATCTGGTTCACAATGCTTTTTGTATTTTGTTTGTTTGGGTTTTTTGTTCATATTCGATTGGAGTTCATCTCAGATCTCAGGTGCGTTGTCATTGGGGGGGGGCACGCTCTTGCATTTTTGTTATGGTGTGTTTTTTCTGTTTTTCGGTATATGACACCCAGGATTGAAGAACCTATAGGGACAGCACGTAGAATGAGGGAATAAGGGTTACTGGGGAGGGCTATCGGGATGTACAGTGGTGGTAGGGGGTAACAGGGAGCTGATGTCAAGAAGGAAACGAATGTTTGGAAGCTAATTGTGGTAGCAGTTGTATAATACTGCTTGATGTGATTAAACTATGAAATGATAGGAAACCTGTATTAGCTCCCAATAAAATGGTTTTGGGCGGGGGAGACGAAAAGAATTTCAATGTTCATAATAAAATGAATAATACAACAACAAGCAAACAAACACAGCCATTAACTTTCTGCAGTGGATGGTCAGTGTTGCTTCTTACTAATGTTTCCCTGCCACAAAACACAGTCTCATCCTTAGAAGGATGGTCTGCAGGGTAACGACATCACCAGACCTGCACTGATGCTGAAAGTGACCTCACAGGTCTACTGCATTCCATCCTTCAAAGGCAATTCTGAGAACATCGCTTTTTTTTTTTTTAACATGATGGGAAATGATGGCCGTTGGGACCAGGGGTCTCTGGGAAAGAGCACAGAGGGGCAGACACAGCAGGGAGTGATCCGGTTCTGGAAGCACCACAGAATGGGCTTCACACAGCTTGACAGCCAAGGTTAGCGCTTCTCTGACCCTCCCTGGACCAAGCAGACTGCTTCCCCCGGACAGGACAGAACCCCTTTCCGGGCGTCTGCCTGGACCTTGGATTCACAGCGCCAGGGCTCATGGAGAGGCACACCTACCTACAGACCCAGTGGCTTCCCCACCAGCTATGGGAGGGTCCCTTCAAGCCCAGCTATGGTAGGGTCCGTTCAAGCCAGTTGCCTTGACCTCGTCTCCCCTTGTTGTGTACAAACAGGACTCAACCATCTTTCAACATGGGACCCTGCGTAAGTGCTAGGGAATCCCTGCACGTGCCTTCAGCAGCAGAAATGGCTACGCACCGATGCCCAAATCTGCTGACCGAACTCTAAAACCAAAACCTACCCAAGTGACATAACTCCAAAAGGAAGCCCCCACCGTAACCCCGGTGGTGCTCTGCAGCCAGCCAGAGGTGGGTGGGTGAATGCTATGGACCCTCTCTCTCCCTCTCTCTGGGGAAGGGAGAGTGCCTCGCAGCAGACTGGGGTGGGGGTGGGGGTGAGGGGGTGTGGGGGGGCGGGGCCCGCGTTAAGTCGCACACTGTTTGCTGCCTCGCAGGCTCATATGCCACTGATGGCCCCCCGACAAACGGCAGTTCTTGTAGGAGCCAAGATGGCACCTTCCTGGAAGGCTGCAATCCATAAGGCACCTGGGAGCACTTTCCACAAGGAGCTAAAGCACGGGACCGGACTTGAGAGGAACTTGAGACGTAGGTATGCACACGGCTCTTAGCCATCGTTCCTCATGAAGATGATTTGGTACTGGGGACTTGGGGCTGCCACCCCACTCTGAAGGGGGCTCTGTGTGGCAGGATTAGGTGGGCTAGACCTTCACATGTACCACAGGGTGCGCCTCTGTGAGCATCCTTAGTTGCCTCGGGGACAAGGACCATGAAGAGCCACAAGTCACACCTCCAGTAAAGCCATTCCTCTGTGTCTCAGAGCCACGGAACGGTTCCCAATCTCTGTCTGAGGCTGAGAGCACAGGAACCAGAGACAGTGACCCGGAGCCTCAGAGGAGCCGTGCCAAGAGTGTGGGGTACCATTCTCCTCAGCTGGACCCAAGACCACAGGATTGGAGAGGCAGGCAGGCTGGCTTCCTGGTGTCTGGAGGCTGAAGCCAAGGGACCGAGTGGCTGGGAGGCCATGGACCAGAGAGAGAGGCCTGGCTGCCAGCTGACCCTGATTGCTGACCCTGACTTGTGGGAACCTGTGAACTTCCCTAGTGGACCCTCAAGATCATGCATACTGTCTGTGAGTTCTCTGTGGGCCCTTACAAAAGACTTTCAAACCCAGTTCAGAAGGAGAGTGGTGTGGGGGAACAGTTGGTGCCAAAGTCGTCGGTACAGAAGGGTGGGGGTGGAGGCACGTCTGACCCCTGCCTCGTGGGCAGAGGGAAGCCAGAGAAGCGACCCTGCAGACAGAGTGGGCATGCATGCCCCTTAGGGTTTCCAAGACTGTCCATCTTCAGGTGGCAGGGGGCAGACTGCCTCATCTTGCTACCTAGGAGCAGCTGGTGGGTTTGATCCATGGACCTTGTGGTTGGCTACCCAGAGTTAACCCTGTAAAGCCACCAGAAGATAAATCTATTTATTTTTTTAAGTTTAGCTTTTGAGTGTTATGCCTGAATCCTAAATGCTTTGTGGCAGGGCTCCAGGCAGGTGTTCCGACCGGGCGTGATGTAGTGGGGCCACCGCGCCCTCCTTTCGGTGACAACTGCTGCCATGTCAGAGAAGAACGTGGTCCTCGGTTTCTGGATGCCTGCCAAGTAGGACCGGCCAGCTACAGGGCATTGTCTGCAGCTCCTGACATAAGCCGGGCCCCTTTCCACCGGGCCAGGGCTGGGAGGCCAGCCCAGGTGGGGCAGGGGAGGGGCCAGGGTTGGCCCAGCACACCCTGGCACACCTTCCCACGTTCCTAGACCTGGGCACACCTGCACCTGCAGCGGAGGGCGCCCTTTACCTACCTGCAGGCACTAGTAAGTTTTTCCAACATGATTTCCAAAAGGACCGCCTCCGGAAGAGGGCGTTTCCAGGAGGGATGCTAAAGCTCCGTGGGGCGTGGTTTCACTTGCACCTGCCAGGCCATTCCCGGAAGCACTCCCTTCAGGAGGCGGGTCCTGGTGGGAATGATATCACAGTGTGACAATGCGGTCGGCGTCCCTGTGGACAGGCACAGACACGTGGGCAGCGGCACACCTGCATGTCCGCACGCACAGCGCTCCTCCGGCTCCCTATTCGTGCCGGTACCTTATCTCCTTGGTCTTCTTAAAGACGGGCTTCCCCTCCTTCTCCTCGCCGATGTCAAACAGGTCTGAGTAGAGCTCCTTGTTCTTGTGATCCACCTGGAACAGGGCGCAGCGGTCCGCGTCTACCAGGTTTTTTGCATATATCTGGGGGCAAAGGGGAACCGGGGTCAGAGGGCACAGGGACACGTGATGGTGGGTCAGGGCCCATTTCCGCTACTCCATCCTCTAACGTAGGGGCGCTGGGAGGCGGCTGCAGTCGCCAAACGCCAGGTGAGCAGTTCAAAACCACCAGATGCTCCTCCGCAGGAAGGGGAGGCTTTTCTATTCCCCAAAAGCGTCGGGAACCCACAGAGGCGGTTGAGGCTGCCCTACGGGGTGGCCACGAACGAGTGAGCAACGACACCTTAGCATGGACTTTGATTTTGGTTTTTGGTCTTCTTAACAAGGATCCGGGGCCCTTCGTAGTTATGCACAGGCAGCATTTCTAAACCACCAGTCGCTCAGAGAGAGAGAGAAAGAGGCTTTCTACTCCTGCAAAAACCTACTGTCTCTGGAACCTGTAAGGACAGCAGCCCACTCAACATATGTACATGTAAATGCACACAAGGGCTCTGTACTATATCGACTAGACACCGCCTGTCTAGGGGCGTAGCCCAACCTGTCAATCAAGTCCCAGCCTGCAGTTGCTTCCTGGGGGTGTGGCCTTTAGACAGGCGCGACACTGGGAGTGTCCCTCGCCCTCTGCCACTTCCCCTTCCTCCTCGCTGGAGCTTCTCTGGGACTCGGTCTGCCTCCCGGGGTGGCCCCAGGTGGCCACCCGACCCTGAGAGCTGCCGCTCCCTGCCAGGCTCCCACCGACCTTGGGTCCACGTGACTCGGCACGCACCCGCGGCCTGGGATCTACCTGCTCCCGGACTCACCTTTCCGCCTCCTTGGCCTGCAGCTGCGTGAGTCTGAAGAGGGCCCGGCTGGCATGGGACCCGCAGCCTTTCACGGGACTAGGCTGGGACGCCGTCTTAATAAAGACCGCTCCTTGGTGCCACGTTCTTTCTGATACATGTATTAGTATCACTGGTTTTTCCTCTTTTGTTTTATTCTTCTCTGGACAACCCAGCCTAACACAGACTACAAATGAATCCGTTCATAAAATAGAACCTTCGTATCTCGGTGAGCGATAGTTAGATCTTAGGACTTAGAGAACTAAGCTTTGGGGACATGGAACGTTGTCCTATGACAATGAATAAATAACATGTTAGGATACATGCTCTCAGCCCAAGACTTACAGTGATCAAAAGAAACTGGCACAAGCATTATGCAAATCAATTTGAATGCAGGACCTTCCAAAGCAATTACAGTCACATCTCCTTGCCTGTCAGACACACAGAGATGCATTACAGCAAGCATTGGAAGGAGTGGCACCGAGTCTCCCTCTCTCACTGCCACGGACTGCATTCGGGCTCCTCACAGAGCAACCGATAGAACAGGCAGAGACGATCACTCTCTGTGGGAGTAGAAAGCCTCGTCTCTCTCCCCCGGAGCGGCTGGTGGTCTCCAACTCCAGTAATATCACACACATCACACTGACACTGGAAAGAGAATTCTGGCAAGCTGGACCATCCAGATCAGATACTAGAAATTATGGCCGAGAGGATAAAAATACAAGTTCTCAGAGGAAAAGACCCCACCCAGGATATAATGTAGGAGAAAGGTGGGTCACCTTGTGTTCAGAAGGAAACCTGCATCTCCTAGCCATCTCCCTACCATCCCATCGAGTCAATGATGACTCCCAGTGACCCTCTAGGGCAGGAGAGAACTTCCCCTGTGGCCTCCCAAGACTGTCACTCTTTACAGCAGTAGAAAGCCCTGTCTTCTCCCATGGGGCCACTGGTGGATCAGAACTGCCGACCTTGTGTCTTCCAGCCCAACAAGTCACCACTAGACCACCAGGGCTCCTGATATTCCTTTAAAGACACAGTGAAAATAAACCAGGTTGGGTTAGGCACCCTTCTTCATCTCTACTGTAAACTCCTGCTTCCTGCTATTACGAGACAGCACTTGTTCTCTCTCAACAAACACAAGTGCCCACTGTACCCCCGTGCCAGGAGCAGAGCAAAGTGGGTTCCACCTGACTCAGACATCCACATTTGCATGTCTCCTCCATTCACTGCAAGTAACACCACTGCAGAAGTGCTTTCCTCCCTCCCACGCAAGTCCAAATGCCAAGCACAGGCCTAAATCAAGCCCCAAATCAAGCCCGGCTCCCTGCCCTCCAGCCAGTTCTGACTCACACTGACCCACTGGAGCAGAGTAGAGCTGTCCCAGGGCATTGCCAAGGCTGTGCACCTTTAGGGGAGCAGACCATCCTGTGTTTCTTCCACCGAGTGGCTGGTGGGTTGGAATCACCACCCTATCTCATTCACAAGTGATTCCTTAACTGAGGTCTCCTCACTCCCAACCCCCAGACTCCTCAGGCCTACAGTGGGGGTGGGGGGTGGAGTGTCTGCAAAGGTTGACCCACGGCTCCTTCTGGCCCACGGCTTGCTTCTGTAAATAAAATGTTATGCACCAAAAGCCGCACCCATTCATTTACATCCCGTCTATGGCTCCTTTCTCTCTACAGCAGCAGAGCTGAGTAGGTACAACAGAGTGCAGCCCATGAAGCGTGTGTGTGTGTGTGTGTGTGTGTGTGTGTGTGTGTGTGTGTGTGTGTATCTTTGATCTGACCCTTTACAAGAGAGCTTGAGGACTCTTTGCTAAACTCTCTGAGCAGATACCGGAGGGCAGGGATACCACAGAAAGTAAGAGAGAGAGTGTGTGATGGACTGGCTGTGGGAAAGTACAGGAGACTCATCCATCTGCTTTTTATTTTTTATTTTTTGATAAAACAAAAACAGGGGATCATGCATCATTCAATAATCACCACCCTGCATTAATAACGACTACATACTTTTAAGTAAAATCTGCGTCTGGGGTGCCCAGGCTTATGCTCCTTTTCAAATAAATATTTTAGCAGACATGTATGCCAGACCTTGTTGTGTTGTGCAAGCTTGGGTGAGTGGACAGTGGCAGATCGAGATGCAGTTTACAGCCTGTGACGCTACAGACACAATGGATTTTGGAGAAAACCCTGCCATCCCCTGGTGGCAATGGTCCTCTTTTTGATAAATAGCTTTTGTGTGGTCCCTGGGCCTCAGTTGGTACTGAATCCTGCAAGGGGCATCACCGCATCACCTGGTCAGAGGTGCTCATCGTGAAACGAGTGTGGTCATGACGTGGGGCATGCACAGCAGGCACCCTACCATCAGACGGGAGAGCTGCAGAAGAGAGTGCATTTAGGGCAGAACCTGCCTGAAGTGCACTAAGTTACCTGAAGATGTGCATCAAAGCCCCAGGGTCCCCACTCCTGGCCACCCTACTTTCTTCCAGCCCTGTGCATATGGCCTCACAAGCAGTGTTTCCCAATCAGTTGACTGGGAAAGAAAGACACACTTGGGCCAAATTTGCAGAAAAACCTGTTCATTGCAAGTGGACACTGGGCAGCACTACAGACCCTTTCTGGGGCCTCTCTGAAGGGCAGTGGTGAAGGGAAATTCTCCCAGGGGGCAGCACTCTATTCACTTAGCTGGGAGGAAGAAAGGGCAGGGGCCTGGACGGATACTGATCCGTGGGCTTTGTGTCATCCTTTGGCTAGGTGGTCAAGGACTTGGAAGAAACATGATTGGAAAATAGTGACAAAGGGATATGGAGAAAGGGGATGTGAACAAGCATCTATGAATGGGTGAAAATGGAACCAGAAGAGGGCTTTAAAAATGGAGCCCCAAGAAGAATTCATTGTTCCATGAGTTTCTTGACGTCTGCGTCTATATTTGGGTCCCAGGTGAATGCTCTCCAAAGAACCACCTGACCAGAGGGAGAATTTAACCATCAAGTGGATAACAGGACGAAATGCTCTGTGGAAACCAGTCATCCTCTTTCCCCAGCCACTCCGGTCCTTGTCCAATGGGTGCATCAACAAAGTGGCCATGGTGGCAAGGATGGACATTAAGTGTGGGGTTGTCAATGTGGACTTCCGCTCACCACAGCTGACCTGGCTATAGGCACTGCTAGGTGCCCAATCAGCCAGCAGCAGGGACCAACACTGCATGGGATGCTGAAACAGCACCATTCCTCAGGGCATTGAGATGGCAAACGGAATGGCAGGTTGACTGCATTGGACCACTTCAATCAAGGAAAGGGCAGCGTTTTCTTCTTAGCGGGATCAACACTTACCCTGGATACAGATTGGTCTTCCCTGCACACAATGCCTCGGTATTTATAGAATACTTATCCTCTGTCACGGGTATCCGACACCACATCAATTAAGATCAAGGGCCTCACATCACAGCAAATGGAGTGTACCAACAGGCTCACATTCACAGACTTCACAGGTGTCCTACCATACCCACTACCATCCTTTCAGAGCAGCTGGTTTGATAGCACAATGGAATGGCCTTTTGAAGAAAAAAAGTATGGAGCCAGCTAGATTGGGGAAGTGTTATCCAGGAGGTTGTAAATGCTCTAAATCAGTATCTAATATAAGGCTCTGCTCCTCCTATAGGCTGGAGTCACAAGTGCAGGAGTCAAGGGCTGGGGATGGGAAGGGCACCACTCACTAACACTCGGTGAGCCACTGGAACACTTGTTTGCTTACCATCCCCACAACTCTCCCCTCCTCCATTCTATAGGGTTGGGTTCTAACAAAGGGATGCTTCCAGCAGGAGACACAGCAACGATTCATTGAAGGGGGAGTGAAAACTGCCACCCAGACACGTTTGACTCCCCATCCCCCTGAGTCAACCTGCAAGGAAGGGAGTTCCTACTCTGGCTGGTGCAACTGATCCTGATTCCAGAGAGGAGTCTGGGCTGCCATCACACAACGGAGGTAAAGAAGAGCAGGAGACGCCCTAGGGGGTCTTGTGCTCCATGACCTATGACCAAGGTCAAGGTAACACTCCAGATACCTCCATAAAACGACAACTGACTGATACCTCCATAAAACGACAACTCAGGCAAGGGCTGCTCATGGCTCAGCCCCTCTGACAATGAAGGTCGGGGTCACCCTACCAGCCCCAGAAGCACACCCAGCTGAGGGGCTCTCGGCTCGCAAAGGAAATACAGAATGGGCAGTGGAAGACAGAGGTTGTTCATGACCACTTGTTATGAGTCTTTCTTCTTGTTTGCTTCCATAACCATACGCCATAATGTATATTAGGCTTCACAGCAGAGTATTTAAGTACAGCCCTGGTGGCAGCATGGTTACAGCACTTGGCCACAAAATGAAAGATCAGCGGTCCAAACCCACCACCTATTCCTTGGGGGAATACATGCTCCTGTCTTGGAAACCCTCTGGGGATGGTCTCCTCTGTCCTAGATGGTCACCATGAGCCCAAATCGACTGCAAGACAAATCAGAGGATTTTAAGTGGCAGGATCTCACAAACAAGAATGAACATCACACAAGGACTTAATGCTTGCTTCTGAGGAAAGGGAAAATATGGCGTAGTCATATGCAGTGAGCAAAAGGACAGTCATTCCTTGTCCTACAGGGTTGCTAGTCAGCATTGACTCAATGGCGGTGAGCTTGGTTCAGAGGGAAGTGTGACTTGGTTTCCTTATTTCTTTAACTGTGGTCTGAGGAGATATACGTGTCACGAGTTGACAAGGAGTGGGCTGTGATAGCTGGCTTTATGTGTCTGCTTGGGTAAGCTACGGTGACCCTGGTTTGGTCAAACACTAGTGTTGCTATAAAAGTAGTCTGTGTATTTAACCTGTCGGCTCTAAAGAGAATTCGGTCTTAGGAGGAAAGACTGTGGTTTCAGAGAGGAGCTGGAGTCCTAGCTCTGTGTTGTAACTTTGGGAATCTCCAGCTTGGCCCTTAGCCACCGATTTCACACACACAAGACATCTGGGTTTCAGATTCAACACTTCCAGAGTTTTCAGCCTGTCATCTGGCTTATGGCCTGTAGGCTTGGCTGCCCCTACAGTCATGGGAACCAATTCCTTAGAAGCAGCCCTTCTCTCTCCGTGTCTCCGTGTCTCCGTGTGTGTGTGGGGGGGTGGTGGAGTGGGGGGTGGTTTCTCTGGTGGCATGGCATAGTAGGTTGTGCATTGAGCTTCTAATTGCATGGTCTGTGGTTCCAATCTACCAGCCTCTATGAGGGGAACAGTTAAGGCTGTCTACTCTTGTCAAGATTTAAAGTCTAGGAAACCCGGGGGGCCCTTCCACCCTGTCCTAGGAACTCGAGCTCAGTGGGTTGAGTTTGAGAAGCCCAGACCCTGAGAGAATACTTTTATTCCGCTTGAAGCCACCTAGTGGCGGTACTGTGTATAGCAGCACTAGGCGGCTAATCACTAGTGATACAAAGTTACTGGCTGCTGGGGCAGTCACTCTTTTGGAGAAAGTAGAGGCTTTCTACTCCTGTGAGAGTTACAGCCTCAGAAACGCACAGGGGCGGTTCTACTCCGTCCTACAAGCTCACTGTGAGCAGGGAGTTTGGTTTGTTTTTTGGGGGGTGGGCTTGTGCATATGAAGTGGTGCAGGCCCTGTGCAAAACAGCTCAAGTCTCTTCAAAACCTCAGCCGTGGGGGCCTGAATGACTAGTACTCCTACTCCCACCTATGTGCCCATAGGATTAACGCGAGGTATTCAGTGTACGTAAAAACGCACACAAATGCTTACAGCAGCACCATTTCCGCCGCTAGAAACAATGCAATCATTTATCAACTGCTGAATGGATAAGCAAAACATGGTATATTCGTGCAATTGGGTACTCATTCAAAAGTCACTGCCGACTCACAGAGACCCTATAGCACAGGGTAGAACTGCCTCCTTCCCCCACCTCACAGGTGAGGCTCTTATTCTCTAAGAGGGTAGAACTCCGTGTTTGCACTCACGGAGCAGCTAGTGGTTTTGAACTGCTGACCTTGCAGCTAGTTAGCTCATGCTAAGTGAAATAAGCCAAGTGCAAAGAACAAACAACAACAAAATACAAGGTTTGATTCCTTTTCTATGACAGGTCGTGAGTAAGGAAACAGAGACGTTAAGCAGGTCAGGTGGATCGGGGCTGGGGCGGGTCGGAAGGGGCAGGGGTGCTGGTGGTGGGGGGGTGGGTGGTGATAGCTGAAGAATGGAAGGTTTGTCTTTATGGTCATCAAAATGTTCTACGATTGACTGATGGTAAGTCCCGCTCTCGGTGAATAAACCAGAGACCATCAGACTGCACACACTTCAAATGGATGGACTGTGTGCAATGTGAATCACACCTCACAAGGGCTGCTAGCGAGAGACATTCATAACACCAACATTCGTCCCTGGGTGTTCCTTGTAGCCCTGGGACAAGCTCTTTGTCCGTCCATATTTTATCTTTCTGCTTTTACATTCTGCTCAAAGGCGTTCTCTGCCTTGCAAGTTCTCTACATGCTGTCATCTTAAGCAGAGGGTTGTTTGTTCAGGTGCCTCTCTTGTGTCCAAGTAAAACCACCAAGATGACCAGTTCTCAGGGAACCAACTGCCAGACTCGCGCCTCTCGTGACCCTGTCATCTCTTGAGCACACTTCTCCTGTCTCTGCAAAACACTGGACATGTCACATGAGACACTGCCTACCGTGAGGTCACAGAAACACCTACCCCCACAATCTTAGCTGGGGAAAGTTCATATTATAGAGGGCAGCTGTTTGTTGACTGGTCCAGAGGAGTGGAGAGAACGAGAGGGAGAATATTTACTGATGTTTACAGCAAGCACAAATGGACCCAGAGAGTCTGGCCATCCCTGGGGCACACGCGCTGGGTTTTGATTAATGTGAGTAATGACATTTCTTCTTCCGTGCACTCAGCCGGACCACTAAAGCAACAACGGAGGACATGTGGAGGGGTAATTGCTGACTTCGATGGCGTCAGCCTCAAACCAGCCATCGAGGAGAGAGGAATGATTACGACTAAGCCGAAGTAGAACAAGCTGGGACATCAGGGAGAATGGGTAGGAGATCCCTAATGCAACCCACACGCAGAAGCTGTTTTGGAGAATTAAAAAAAAAATCAAACCAAAAGCTGAGTGCAATTTAAAAAGTCTATCTTTCATCTACTAAGTACAGACTGAGGTGCGAAAACATACCTCTATTCAAATCCCCACTCCAAATTGAACAGAAATGACAAGTCTAGTTGGCAAGTCCAGGCCAGGAGGAAACCACATTTTCAGAATAAACGAGTTTGTAAGTGTCAACGTGTTATCCCATATAAGGAGACCACGGACCCACAGTTAAACAAAACCATTTTCAAAACAAGAGGCCACCTACCATTATGTGTTCAAGTAGAGAATCTATTGCGACTATGTTATCAAAATATGTCCTGGAGAAAGAGGGAAACAAAGTAAGTGATCTCATTGAGGTCATCAGGCATATGAGACGTTGAATGCATTTGCTGGGTTTGTTTACATCTTAATTACACACACACACACACACACACACACACACCAAGTTCTATCGAGTTAACTCGCGTGCATGTAGCCCCCACTCATCTCAAGAGCGAACTCTGCTCTTTGGGATCTTTGATGGAGATACTCAGATCGTGGTTTCCAGGGGCCTCTGGGTGCAATCCAACTTGCAACCTTTTTGTCAGTAGCCTGTCTGCACCACCGGGGACTGCTCACTTACACACTCCGTCTCTCGCCCTCCTGCCCCATCTCTTAACAGACAGACAGACGTGATAGAGAGATGTGGTTGCCCTTTAGTTAAAACATTCGCTGCTACTCTGTCTAGGAGATAACTGAAACTTCATCATCAGTCACACTACAACAGCTCCAATTCCAGATGACTCAGAGTAATTATTGTACCGTCATTGCTATTGGTAACTACCAACATATAGAGGGTTTGTATCATTGCACGAAAGCTATGAAAGGATTAAAATTAGATTGACCGTATCTAGTGTTTCCATTCATAGCTGACCTGAAACAAAAATGCCTGAATTTGCCAAGCCTCGTCTATATGATCAATAAGTAAATTGTCGCTGAAGCCACAGAGGAAGTTGGCATGGACATGTTGCAGTGTTGAGGATACAGTGGTGAGAAAACAACACCGCACGCTTTAGAAGAGGCAGCAAACCACATAAGATCTAATGACTGCACACAAAAAGAGAGGACTGCCATTTTATAAATGGCATAGAACTTATCGGCAGCATGTCTATGAAGCCCTGGTGGAGCTGTGGGTTAGGTGTGTTGGGCTGCTGACTATTAAGGTCTAGAGGTTCGAACCCACCATCCACTGCATAGGGGAAAGATGAGGCTGCCTGCCCCATAGAGATCTACAGTCTCAGAAACCCTGTAGGGGGTCACTGTGATGAGATGGTTTTGTTGTTTGGGTTCTATGGTGTCTATGAAGATCTAAGTCTAGCAAGCAGACACATCAATTGGCAGACTTCCTGGGGAAAGTACAGATGGCCCCAGCACGGGGCTCTTGTGTTTAGGGAGGATCTTCAGGGGGTTCACATCCATGGAGTATGTTATAGGCTACAACTGTCTGACTCTCAAACAGCTCCTACCCTAAACCCACTGCCGGCAAGTGGAGCCCAACCCTTGGGGACCCCGATATGGGTTTTAGAGACAACAGACCTTTATGGGAACAGACAGCTCCTCTCTCACACAGTGGAGGCCAGTGGGCTTCAACCACTGACCTTGAGGTTAGCAGCCAATGCCTAACCCACAGCCCACCAAGGCTGCTTCAGACAATGTCTGCCAAGGAAGCAAATGAGGAGAAGACGAGGATTTTACAATTGCATATGGTAACCGGAGCAGGAAATCAGGGTTTGATCCCTGGGCTGGGAGGATCGGGGGAGGTGTGGTGAATCCTCTCCAGAGCCAGATGCAGGAGACTAGAGTAAGGCAGGAGGGCTGTGGGAAGCCACAGTGGTGTTCAAAGCAGAGTGGTGGGCAGCCATCTTTGAAGCCTTCCTTTAATGTTATGCAAATGAGCCCTTGTTCTGAAATGACTGAAGCAACCCTTACTTGTAACAAATGCTTCAAGCACGATCACCTTCACCAATTGCGGTGCGGCTTTTAAATCATTCAAACCGTTTTGAGCCTCTTCTTGCACTAAAAGCCGGAGTTCCTGATCATTGGGAATCACCTGGGGGCCCAGGAAAATGCAGGTCCATTTGCAATCTAGTGAATCTGAATCTCTTCGGGGAGAAGCCCAGGGATCTATAGTCTCATCTTTTTGTTTCTTCTGTGAAGGGCCATTTGGAAACGTGTGGCCTCGTTCTCAGTCTGTACTAGTCAAGTAATGACCTCACCCCTAGTGTGCTGCCTGGGACTGCTTCTCTTTGGTGAGGTGTATGAGGTTAGCTGCTATTGATGAATTTTGCATGTCTTACACAGCCTGAATGTCCCCCACCTTCACACTAAACCAAAAACAAACTAAACGCACGGAGGATACTGACGTAGATGACATCAAAGACAGACTGGGATTTTTTTTTTTTTTCAATCCCATACCCTAACACAAGCCATGGGCCAACTCAGGCAACCTGATAAAGGGTGACGAGATTGCAAATCTTTGTGAAGCAGATGGCCTCAGCTTTCCCCCTCAGAAGAGCTGGTGGGTTTGAACTGCCGACCTCGAGGTTAGCAGGGCAAAGGTCCCCCATCAGCAACACTTGGGTTCCTTTCAGCCCACATCTCTTCTAATCGTCTGTTTCATACGCTCAGCAAAACGGGAAGGAGCAACCGCAAACGCCACAAGTCATGGGCTCACAGGACTTCTGCCTGGTTGAGAGATCACCAGGTGCTGCCCTAGGGAGAGGTGAGAGGGGACACAGGGCATGGGGGCTGGGGCTGGGCCAGCATCCTTCAGTCAACTTGGAGACCATAGCCCTGAAACCACCAGACACCAGGCATCTGTTGGATATGAGCTAGTAAGCCACTGGCTCAACAATGCAGAAGATTCCCCGGGTAGCAAACAGAGGCAACGTGAGCCTGATCTTGGAGGGGGAAGTCTCTAACTGCAGCTTCAGAGCGTTTTCTAGGTCAAACTTTGGGGAAATGGAGCATTATCCGGGTTGGGATCACCTAGCCACTGTGCGAGGAGAGATTAAAAGGGCAGAATTGTTTATCACAGGTGTTGATGCCCTGATGTTTGTCAACAATAACTCTGAGAACCCTGTTGAAGACAAGACAGGCGGTCATCTCTCCCTCTACTACCATCAACATCCTCCTGCGAGCACCAGACATGCGTGCTGTCCTGACCATGTCCATCTAGAAAACGGACATCCAAGCATCACGGAGACCATCCTACCTGCCATCTTGACCTTGAGCAGTCCGCAGTGATGGGATCTAGTGATGGGATTGACACTCAACACGCAAAGTGCGATCGACAATCCCTAAGGGGTCCCTAAGGGTACAAGGCTACCCTTGAACCGTGAAGACCCGCCTTTGGACGCTGTCTGTGGTAGTCAGAGACCACTCCCTCTGGGGCCGGCACTTAACGTGAACCACTGACCCACGGGCTCGACATCCCAGAAAGGAGCACTTACTTTGATACATCGAGTAGAAAGTCATTCAGCTCCGTCTGTTTGGCAAGTCCTCTGCACACCTGGCGTGAGGGGAGTGGGGGGAAGTGGGGAGGACTGTTAACTCCGTGAGGAAGTGACTCAAACCAAACATCTTTAAACGACCTTCAACCCCAACACCAAACTCACTGCCATCGAGTTGATGCCGTCTCACAGTGACAACCCCACCCCAAGACTGAAGCTCTCTATGGGAGTAGAAAGCCTCATCTTTCCCCTAAGGAGTGGCTGCTGGCTTCCAAGTACTGTACTGACCTTGGGATTCGCAGCTGATGCATACATAACCCACTACATGGGCTGGAACCCGTGGAGTGGCGTTGGACACGTAAAACTACCAAAAACTGCAGTGGTGTTAATGCAAGGGGGCAAGGGGTATATAGGTAGATGTGAATACATATAATTTTTTGAAAGTAATGAAATACTTTACTAGCCAAAGGATCCCTAGTGGCACAATGGTCTGAGTGTCAGGATGCTAACCGCAAGGTCAGCAGTTCAACCCCAGCAGCCTCTCCCCGGGAGAGGAGACAATCTAGTCTATGCCCTCAACATTGACAGTCGCGGGAGCCCGAGGTCTGCCGGCAGGGATGCTGGGCGTCAGCAGCCGCTCAAAGTCCATGGGGCTTTAATGCCCGAAAATGAACATTTCAGCCACTCACCCGCCTCCCTGCGGCTCCCCGTGCTGCCCCAACAACTCTTCCCACTGCTCAAGCCCTGGGGAACCAGCAGGAGGACGCACCTGCACCTGGTGGATTGCTACGGAAGCCCAGGCGAGGTTTGCGGTGGCGACCTGAAAAAGAGAACAAGGGAGTGAGCGTGGCCCCAGCCTGGGGTCTCAGGTAGGCTGCCCAGGACAGGTGCACCCACAGGAAGCACTCCCTCTGGCCCTGACCCTGGAGACACTGCCACTGCTCAGTCTGAAACAAGGAGGGTTGGCAAGGGCTCCTTTGCCACTTCTCAAGGATGACGCTTGTTTCCTGCTCGGTGTAAAGGCGATGGATCACTTGATTGTTTAAAGAGCAACAAGAACCCCAACTGCTTAAGGCAAAATGATGATCCCCCCAAAACGTTTGCTTTCTACTTGAGCCCTTGGTATCAGCTCCTCATTTTCCCCCTCCCCCCCCCCCCACCTAATAAAAATACCACCGAAAGCAACCTTTCACGGTCGTTTGAAAATGGATTGCTTCTAAGAGAGTAAAAAACCCCTTACAAATGTGAACTGACAAGAACTCAGATCGGTAGCTCGTCCCCTTCCATGGCGACACCGGGTCAGTTAACAAGCAGGGCGGGAGCCCCAGGGCGGCAGCGATGGAGCACACACTTGGAGGCTGGTCGGAAGTCTGGTGGGTCAGCAAGGAGCAGTTCCATGTGGCCCATCTGCTTCTACACAGATGGACAGCTTCAGAAAGCCGTGGGGCTCACAGTTCTGATGTGAACGGTCAAGGAACCACCTCGGGGTGGCAGGGAAGGGGGCGGTGTTAACTCTGAACCAGGCATAATCTCTAGGTGATGGCTGAAAGGTGATCCTGAGGTGGGGTGTGCGTGTGTGGGGGCGGGGGGTGGGAGGGTCGGGGGTGTTCAGCTCCAGGTATAAAGCATGGGTAGGCGCCACAGTATACAAGGTACGGCTATGTTTGGCAGTGGGTATTTCCGCCCTGCGCATGTGGATGGGTGGCACACAGATCCATGAGTGCACACAGAACACCCACGGGTGGGAAAATGTATGAAAAAGCAAATGCCAGGAGGAACTGAGCCACTGGCCTGGGGGGTGGGGTGTCTTGCACGCACAGTCTTGGGGACACTGGTGCCAACTTACATAACACAGTCCACAAGGACGGTGCTCTACATCCCGCTGTGGTGAGCAGTGACCGGGGTCTTCAAGGTTTGCGAGTGACCCTCCACATTAAACTGTGCTTGCTGCCCCTCCAGAACGAAGGAGAGAGAAGAACAGCTCACACTCGTGGAGACAAACAATCCAGAGGGCTCCAAGGGCCACACGGATCACAGCCTCCACTGCCCTGAGGCTGCAGACCCGGAGGGTGCCCTGCGACCACTATGCTGAGCAGGGTCGCAATAGCAGAAAGGCCCTGGACAGAGTCGGAGAAATTTGCAGAACAAAATGCAAAATCATAAAAAGGCCAGGCTGCAGGGTCTAAGAGAGACCAAAGGAATGCTGGAGATGATGCCCCTCAGACATTATCCTTCACACCTGGAACTGCAGCCCGTCCCGGGATCACCTTTCAGGCAAACAAGAGACAAAGGCCCACAGAGTGAACCATCGCACGCATGAGGGGTGTGGCTTTTTGAGAAATTCATCACGGGAGAGGGAAAGTAGCAGCGTTTGACCAGAGCCAACGTTTGACCAGAGCTGGCAAGGGCAGGAAGGAAGGGGGACGGGTGGAAGCAGGGAGCCCGGGAGGAAGAGGGAGGAGAGCAGCCATGATGTGCTCTGCCGTATTGTCCCCCAAACATTATAACATGTCTAAACAACAACAACAACAAGGATTACCCTTCCAATTTATCCAACCTCCTCTCTGCAACTGCAAAGCAAAGGTGGTGAAATGATTCGCAGGGACGAGCATCAATGGGCAAACTGTGGGCTTCAGCATCCATTGTGGGTTCACTTAGCATCAGCAGTCAGCACCCTGGACGGACTGAACAGCACACACAAGTGCAAAGGCCACTGCGCCGTTCCGGGGGCCCTCACCTCCTGATGGCTGAGGCAGAAGGCATCCTTGCCCCAGTGCCTATACAGCTCCAGAATGCCGATCAAGTCTCCAATCGCAGTGACGATTGGCAAGCAAAGAACAGACTGGATCCGAGTCCCTGACTCCAGTCCAGTACCTCTGGGAAATCGTTCGTCCTAGGAAAACAGAAGGGTGCGCAGACAGTCAAAGAAGTGAGGCTCGTTTTGCTGAAACTCTGATTTACATCAGACACTGCCCAACGCTCAGAATCAATAAAGAACAATCCTTCCCTAATGAAGTACGAGTAGTGGTGTGGCCATCCTAAGGTTTGCTCAAGGAAATGCCCATCTTTAAGCAAAGGTACCCTGTTTATCGCACCTAAGGCTCCTGTGATGTTTCTTTATTCTTGATTGATAGACACACACACACACACACAGGAAGTATTCAGACCACCCATAGTCACCATTTCTCATAAGTGACAGTTGACTGGCAGTGTAAAGATTCCCTAAGTTGCCACAATCACTGGAGGTACGGCCGCCAGAGAAGATGAAGCCCCAGGAAAGCAATCCCGTTCCATCCTGCCGGGTGTAGAAGGCTATTAGAAACGGATTAGCGCTCTTGATGGATCAAGCACAAGACAAACACCTCTACTTGGCATTTATCGGCCTTTTGAAAATGTGCTCATATTAACAGAACGTTTTCTGGGCTTTGTTTTGCCTCAAAGGGAATCTTTTATAGCACAGCACCTACTATAAGCATCTATCCTAGCAACTCCCCCTGCCCCCCCTCCATCTTTCTTTTTCAGTAGTTTCCTGACTTCTTCAAGATAATGCAGATTAATTAGTCTCAGAACCAAAGCGGAAACTCAGGCATCATGACTCTGAGTTTGCACTTATTTTTGGAGAAAATGGCTGACTGCTACCCATTCATTTAAGATATCTGCTTCACTTAGCAACCTTTCCTCAGGATGCCCTCACGTGCCACGAAAGACCACCCCACTGAAACCCACAGCCTTCAAGTCAGTTCTGACCCCGCAGGGTTTTCATCTCTATGTAAGCTGACGGCCTCATCTCTCTCCCACGGAGCAGCTGGTGGCTTTGAACCACGGCCCCTGTGAATAGCAGTGGGAGGCAAATCCCACAGTGCCACCAGGGCCCCATGGGTCACAGCCCTGCCCAACCACAACCTTTGTCAGTTCCCTCCCACCCTGACTCAGAGCTCGGCTTGAGGAGCGGGCTGGTCAGAGGGAGGCTCCCAAACCCTGTGCCCATCTCCACTTCCTGTCTTGGCCCCCACCACCATGATGGCAGGCCAGTCTCACCAGAGGGCTGTGGGGAGCAGGGCAGATGGTCCCAACTCCAGCATCAGAGCTCACACAGCTCGTGAGGCCCTGTCAGGTCACCTTTGACACTCAGGGAATCCCGTGGCCTCTGATATCAACCACCCAGACTGGGGTGGGGTGGCACACAGTCACAGCTAAGTCACCCGTGTATATCCTGACATATATAGCCCTAGACAATCATCATCCGTTTACATGGCTGTGCACACATAGGCTGTCTACTTGGCACAGACTGGCAGCCCCTGAGCCAAACTGTAGTGGGTGTAAGAGAGCTGGGTATAAAAGTGAATTTGCTCAGACATCCATCTGTGGATCTCGATGCAGCAATGGCTTAAGCTGCCACGGGAGAATGACAAGTCAGCCTTTCTTCATAAGCACGTGTGCGAAAAGGTCAAGAGTCAAAGAGCCGCTGACCCCGAGGATGTCCTCTACCAGCAGGGTTTTCCTGGACTTGGCCACATACGCAGATACCGTGGTTCCCTGCGAGATGGGCCCGGCGGGCACGAGCCTCGGCTTCCCTTCCTTCACTCCGGGCGGCGTGAACACACAGAGGCTCTGGGAAGAGAGAGAGCGTGCTTTACACACACAGGCACACGCAGGCCAGCCGCGAACGAACACACACATCTGGATGTGGGGGTGGGGAGGCAGCCTGTGAGCTGCTCAGAAGGAAACACACAAACATGGGGAGGGGCTTGGTGACCCGCGATGCAACGACCACACCTGATGTCTGAGCCAGAAGAGCCCCCCACCCCCTCACACAAAGGGCAGGTCTGTGTGTGAAAGGAAAGTCTGGGTGCAGAAGAACCCATTAAAGGACCCTCCTGTCTGCTGACAGAGAAAGCAAATAAAATGGGGGTGGTGGGGGGAGAGGTGTGCACACTGTAACTGGACATGCCCAAAGGAGACAGCAGTCCCTGGAGAAGGACATCATGCTTGGTGAGGTGAAGGGTCAGCAAAAAAAATGAAAGCGGAAGACCCTCGACAAATGGACTGAGTGATCCCGGGGCTGCACCGTGGGCTCAAACACAGCACGTGTGATGATGGCGGAGGGCCAGGCGCTGTTCCCTCTGTCGAGTCAAGGGGCCGCTCCACTCAGAGGCACCCAGCACTCCAACATGTTCAAGACCCAGCCCCCGGGGGCCCCACCTTCACTACAGACTCGCTCGGGCTGCCCTGACATGACGACAGGTTAAGAATCCTCTCGGGGAAACGTGCTGTTCCTCTTGGGGTGGAAAAAGAAAAAGGCGGCATGTATGGGGGTTCCCTCCCCTTTCAGGCTTGTTCCAGGGGGAAAGTCTGAAGCTGTTTTGGAATAAATCTGGTGAGGCAATGAATAGCCGTTTCAAACCATGTTCTCAATAATAAGACTTACAAACCCCAGAGAAGCTTTTGGGGCACTTCATTTCAATATCGCTGACCCTGTTCGAAAAATCTTTAAGATTCAGGTAAATGCTCCCAAGACGGCCCTCCACTTTGCCCTCGAATCGTGTTGTGACTTCAGGGCTGAGGACCCATGGACACCGTATACATGAGACAGTCCTTTGGAACAAAATCACATTGCTAGCACAGTGAAAACCTGCAAGAGCCAGAACCTGGGTAAGGCAGAAACTGTTCAAAACTGCAAACATTTCCCACTCACAGAGGGGGAGGAGCGTATTGATACAGCACCCTGTCAGCGGTAGGGGGGGAGAGGGGGGCAGAACAAGGGCTTCCAGCTGTCACTTGTTATTGACTATGAGGGGGTTAGGCCACTCATTTTCTACAAGCAGTGGATTTTACCCTCTGTAAAGTGCAATAAGACTTTCTTCAAGCCAACTCTCATACCAAGGAAGGTGTGGGAGGGGCAAGAAGCAGGCCTTCAGCTCCTCCTGGTCTCCTGGAGGCTTCTTCTGGGAGGGAGAATCGAAAGTCTGACCATTTCTGCTCACATGCCTATCGACAGCAGTAGGGCCATGCCTCTGCCGTATTGTCTAGTAAGTACAATGGGTATGAAACGTATGTTACGGGGTTATTGTTATTTTCTTTAAAGATTAAGCTTAACATATTTAAATGGGAGACACACACCTTAGACCAAATAAAATAAAAATAAAACCCTACATATGAGAAATTAATTTGTGTGTGTGTGTGTGTGTGTGTGTGTGTGTGTGTGTGTGTGACACTCCAAATTCCTTGCCATTCAGTGGATGCCAACTCTGCAGGACAGGGCAGACATGCCCCTGCGGGATTCCGACGGTGTCGCTCTTTGCAGGAGTAGAAAGGCCTTTCTGCCTCGGAGTAACGGGTGGTTTCCACCTGCTGACCATGCCGTTAGCAGCCTAACAGGATAACTCTTTATGCCCCAGTGTTCCCAAAGGGCAAGGCATCGGTGTAACTGTGGAAGAATGACTGTGATCCCAAGCATGTCTGTCTCAGGTCCTTAGTCTTCCAGTGTGCCCTGCCTGTCAGCATCAGAACAAACATTCCCAGCACCCACTCTCCAGGAAGTCAACTATAAATGGGGAGCGGCCGTGGAAACAGGATCCCAGCACAGGAAGGAGAGATGAAGGAATCGCAAGAGAAATTTCAAAATACGATGGGATCTGTTTGGCCTGAAGGGTCAGAAGAGACCCTGAACTCTCACAGTTCACGTAAAAGAAAGCGGTGGGGTCAGGGGAGGGTCCTGAGCCACTGTGTTCTTCTCCCGCATGGGCTGATTGACTGGAAACGGGCTTACCTTAAACCCAGTGGTTTGGATAACGCTACAGCAGAGCCTCCTGTGGCAACAGGTGGAAGTACAGCGGTGGCAGGGCCTGAGGTTTGTGTCTGCCATGTTTGCTGGCTGCACTGCTGATTGGCTTGGTGATCTATTTCATACATCTTTGGTTTTTTGGATGACTTACACATCCAAAGGTTTCCATAGGCTTACTTTGACAAACTTTCCAGCTACGCTCCACCTTGAAATTCAATGATGATGAAGGACGCCATTGTTGGGCTGTGGTCTCAAAGGCAACCGTTGGGGTAGGTGAGACCTGGCTGGTGGGGTTTCCAAGGCTCCAACCCCAGAGCGGATGGCTGCAGTCTTTTCTCCCAGGCAGCAGCTGGTGGGGTTAAACTGTCAACCATTCTGCTCCGAGCTGCGAGCTTCAGCACTGTGTTTCCAAGGCTCCACTGAAGAGCTTCAACTTTTCTAGAGTTTTAAGTGATCACTTCATAGGAGGCTTCTACTGACTGATAAGACACAGGCCAGCAAATCCCGCACCAAGGCGGCACAGGAAAAATAAGTAGATTAGAAATGCCTCACTTGTTTCATCTTTTTAAAAAGATTTTTTTTAAAAGCACTCTCATGGAGGGGATGTCAACTCATAGCAAGATTATACCACCCCACCCCATCCGGAGTAGATTCCAAGTCCAAGTGAACTTACAGGACAGGGCAGACCTGCCCCCTGGGGGTGTTCTCAGACTGGACATCTTTCTGGGGCAGAAGCTGCAGCTTCCTCCCACGGAGCAGCTGGGGGTTCTAACTGCTGGCCCGGCGGCTGGCAGCCAGATGCTTCACATGATTCCCCACCAGGGTTCTATCAACTACTTGAAAGAATCTTTCAGGAACTTAAAGAATGGGAGAAAAAAAAAAAGAAAACTTTTTCCTTATGGATAATAAAAAATATAACATTACATAAATATTTGCCATAAGAATTCATTCATCAGTTTGAATTCAATTTCTATATTTTTTATGTTTTGGCACACACACACACACACACACACACACACACACACGGGTTTCACACTGGCTAAACATTCCATCAGTGGTGATGAGAGGACCCCAAACTCAGGAGGGAAGGGAACAAGAGGACCGATGGAGACTCCTGTTCCTCATCCATGCTCTCCTCCCCTCTCCTCTTCCTTAGCAGACAGACGCCTGCAGTTGCTTTGGGCTCGCAGGATGAGGGTTCCCAGGTGAAGACCCCCGCAGCACTGAGAGCACTGGGGAGGACCAAGGCCTGGTTTGAACTGTGTGTTGGGACAGGTTGCCTAGAGGAAGCAAATCCAGAGACCCTCATCTACGTAAAGAGAGAGCTTAATATCAAGAAGCAATTCTATCCCAAGCAAACATCCCAGCCAGTCCAACTCAAGCCCCAAATCTGACACCAGTCCACCTGTCCCTCCTCAGACTCAGGCAGCCGCATGCAGTGATGCAGAATGCAGGAAGTGCAGGACCGTGTGGATCCAATGGCGGTGGCCACATCACAGCGCTCTTGCAGGTAGCTCATCCACAGGAAGGTGAAGGCAGCGGGTGCGGGAGGTTCCAGGGCCCTCCGTATGAGAAGGCCATGCTCGCCAGAGGCACAATCAGGCTGTGACCCAATTAACAGGCTAGTCTCCCCGCCTGACACTTCCATTTGTCAAGCCGACATGTATTACAGGACACACCGGCTGCATGTCCTGGGTTGCGTTGTCCACATGGCTGGCCAGTAGTTTCTTTCGCAGACAGAAATCAAAGCCAAACTCATTGCCTCGAGTAGATTCCCACTCACAGAGACGCTAGGGGGACAGGGGACGTCCCCTTGTGGTCTCTGAGACCCTAGCTCATTACGGGAGTAGAAAGTCTCTCCCTTCTCCTGAGGAGTGCCTGGGGATTCCTAACTGCTGACCTGTGGTCATCAGCCCCGTGCAAACCCACTAAGCCACCCGGGCTCCTTGCAGACAGAGTAGTGGGCTTCACACCTCTAGGTCAGAGGTAGAACTTCATGCACAGTCGGGGTGGTGGCTGTTGTGAGGTGCCCTCAAGCCAGTTCCAACTCCCAGTGACCCAAGCACAACACAACACAACAAAATGCAACCCGTTCGCTTCTGGGCCACCCTCATACCGCTTTCCCCGCCTGAGCCCATGGTCACAGCCACTGTGTCCATCCATCTCATCGAGGGCCTACCCTTTTTGCTGTCCCTCCGATTTACCAAGCAGGACATCCTTCTGCAGGCACTGGTCTCTCTGGACAGCATAGCCAAAGCCTGTGAGACAAAGTCTCTCCATCCAAGGAGTACTCTGGCCGGACTTCTTCCAATATAGACCTGTGTGTCCAGTTAGCAGTCCTGGGAACTTTCCACAGTCCTCTCCAGCACCACAGTTCACACGCGCCCATTCTTCCTCAGGCGGGGAACTGGTAGTCAACTACCTGCAATTATCCACAGTCATGTCTCTCCCTCACTGTCTCAGCTGCCGCCTTCATCTTCCCCCCTCCAGCGTGGTCTGTTTCCAGGTGGGGGCGCTCTCCGTCCTGCATCCTGGCTCCCTGGGCTGTCACACACCTTGGGATCTGGGAGAGCCGGTCTTGGTTTTCCCATCGATGTTTCAAAATCCCCCAAGTTCATTTGTGTAAGATGTTCGTGGCGTGACTGTGGCCTGTCAATTCTGAAGGAATTTATCAAGGAGACGGGGATTTTGTTTGTTGTGGAATTTTGTGTTTCCGTGACAATGCGCGGCACCTGTTAGAGGCTGAACTTCAGAAACATACACAAAATAGTTTTAAGATGATCATTAGGGAAGTTCCCCACGCAGACACGAGGAGGCGCCAGAGAGT